ATGTCATTAAGGTCGACCCTACTTTGAGGAGGCAGCTCTTCCCCAGTCATCTCTTGAGTACCTTCCAACCTGAGGAGCTTATCTTCCAGCACTATATCAGACAATGTTCTGTTGCTATTTGTAAGGTTTTCACTGGCTAATTCCTTTCAGAAGTAGACCGCCAGGTCCTTCTTCCTAGTCCGTCTTAGTCTGGGAAGCTCTGCTCAAACATGTCCACCTCCTGGTATTTGAATACCGGTGGCACAGCTTCCAGCATCACAGCAACATGCAAGTCCTCACAGTGCGACAAACAGATGCGTGGGAGTGAAGAAGAATTAATGCCTTTGAATTAAGGCGTTGGCGAAGAATATTGAATATACCATGGACTGCCAGAAGAATGAACAAATCTGTCTTGGAGTAAGTACAGCCAGAATGCTCCTTAGAAGCAAAGATGGCAAGACTTCATCTCACATACTTTTGATATGTTATCAGGAAGGACCAGTCCCTGGAGAAGGACATCATGCTTGGTAAAGCAGAGTGTCAGTGAAAAAAAGGAAGACCCTCAATGAGATGGTTTGACACAGTGGCTGCAACAATGGACTCAAGCATAACAACAATTGTGAGGATGGCACAAGACCAGGTGGTATTTTGTTCTGTTGTACATAGGGTCGCCATGAGTCAGAACCGACTCGACGGCACCTAACAACATACGTTCCAAGATATAGATATATGTGTGTGTGTGTGTGTGTGTGTGTGTGTGTGTGTGTGTGTGTGTGTGTTATACTTCTCAACCTATAAAAAAGTTTAGAAAATTAATTTTCTTCTGTCAGATTGATAACCAAATTATAACTTTTGTTAACCAGTAATTCATAAATACTGTTTTCTATTTCATCACCCTTTGGAAAGACCAAAAAGAAGCATGAGGCTTTTCTTAAGGATTCTTTTTTCCTTCTTAGTTTCTCTCTCTTACTTTTTTTGCACATCTCCCTTTGGCCTAAGGGTTTTCATTTGCTGTTGTCTTAGATTCCCTACAACTCCTCATTAGAAAATCAGTGTAGACACCAGCATTAGAACATGTCCAACAGAAGGAATCAGTAAGTCTGTTTTTACAAAGTACATAGAGATTGCTCATTCATTCATTCAGCAAACACTAATTGACCATCTACTGTGCTAGGCACTAGGATTACAGTTGAGAGACAAAGGCCAGGCATTAAAGTAATCCACAGTGGTGGAGTGTACTGAGAGTTATGAATGAGCACAGTCTAACTCAGCCAGGAGGTCAGAGAAGACTTTTGGAAGACGACACTTAAGCTGAGTTTCTAAGGCCATATATAGGATCTAGCCAAGTGGAGAAGATGGAAGGATGTTCCAAGGGAAGGGACCATATGAAGGTGAGAGAGAGTATGGCAGATGGCAGCATGGGAGAAATGTAAGCAGTTTGGAATGACTGAATCTCAGGGTACATATAGGGGACAGAATGGTGAACAAAACAGTTGGTGAGGTAGGCAGGAGCCAGATCAAAGGGTAAGCAGAGCAACTAAAGAAATTATCCCAAAGGCTGTGGGGTGCTGCTTACGTAGGGATTGACATAGCCAGATTTTTATTTTAGAGAAGTGACTTTCCCAGCTACAGGGAATGGATTGGAGTGGGTAAGACTGGAGGCTGAGAGATCCAATGTCTGTATTTGTTTGAGAGTCAGTGACCAAGAACAATATTTTCCAGAGATACAAGACCACCACATGAATTGACTTGATTGACCACTTTGTATGTAGGGTCACCTTCAGTCTCTTTTTCTAATTCCCTTCTTCCCCAAAGTCTTCTACCACAGGTATTCTCATAATCCTATAATGTATCTTGATTGGAGGGTTTATCACATAGTTGCTATTTTGTTGCTACTCAACTCAAATTTAAATTCCATCATTTAGCCTGCCTTCCATTTTGGGCTTGGTAAACTGCCATGTAACTTTGGACTTCTCCATCAAATATATGAACTTTTGAGAGAAGTTGGTGTTTGCAAAGCTAAAGCCAGACCCTTGAGACTTATCTAGTCTTGGTCTAAGAAGATATAAGCAGAGAAAAAGATTGTTATTCCAAATTAGAAGAAAAATATTGCCCTCACATTTACTAGGAATTTCCATATTTAAATTCAGACTGACTCATATATTCTAGATCTGTCCACTGGGCTTCTTTAACAGAGTTTGTTGGAGCATATCTTTAGCCTGCAGACTTTCTCAGGTCTTGAGCAACTGTTTGATACTCCCATTTTACCCTCCTCCTCATCTAGGAAAATTTAAAGCAAAAATGTGTAGCATAAACAGTCTTAAGTCTTGTCCCGAGAAATTGATAATGACAATACTAAAGGTCATCTTGGGTCTTTTGCATTAAACAAACAGACTTGAGATTTATTATAACACGGCAAACATACTATAGGTCGTAGGCGTCTTAAGTCACATTCTATAAAATATAGTATTTTTAGATATCATTCTTAAGGAAAGATCAGCAGGACTATGGAAAGGAACCAGAATTATCCCTCCTTTTATGGGTAAGTTTATACTGGGAAGAATTTTTTTTAATAATCTGGAATTTGCACTTGTATTTTCTATTTTTGACCAAAAAAAACCAAAACCATGAAGGTACAAAAGCTGACTCTTAGGCTTCCTTCAACTGGTTTCTGCTGGGGACCAGCAAGCCCACGTGCAAAACTGTAAGAAGGCAAAAGTGCTTGCTGAGATGTGTTTGGCAATGGATGTATCCCCTCCCCAATGATGAGCTGCTGCAGGTTATGGGGACAGTTCCATGAGAGCATACTAGACATCAAAGTGTGCTCTTGCCTCGGAAGCAGTATGTATGGGAGAAGGCCCTAAACATATTTAAAGAGGCTTCTGCCAGCACCCCAACAGCATTGCCCTCGTAGCCACCAAATGTGTGGCCACTTTGGAGCCTGTGGTCCCGAAGCCTTTCCCAAGCCCTGACACGCATCTGAGAAGGAGCCATCTGGCCCACCTTGCTTGATACGGTGATTCTTTGGCCTTAAGTCTCTATTCTGATACCTGATAGGGCCCACCACAGTGTCTAAGAGAAATGAGAGTTCTGAAACCATGGGCATGGATACGACTGTGTCTCATTCTTACTTAAAGCAACAAACAACAACTTGGAAATCAAACATAGTCAACACAGATTTAAATAAAAGGAAAATTTACAGCCCAGTATCCCAGGCGAGAATCGGATATTCTTTCCTGCTTTTCAAGTTTTGAGTGTTTGGTGAAGGATCCCATGATTTGAAGAAGGCAGAAGAGGCTTGGGATGAGACCCCACCTAGCAAGGGTCATCTCTAAAACTGCCTGATTATCTAGTGGTAATGCTATCTGCTTGCTAAAAGCCTGTGGTTAGATTAATGTTAGCGCTTGAAAGTCTGTTCAGGCCTGATGGTGGGCAGCCAGGGAAGGAATGTGTTTTCTGTTTATCTCTTTAGTGGCAGAAATGTTCATCACAGAAAGACTCTGAGCTCCCAGTTTCTGACGTGCCTGGAAGCAGTGCAGTCTGTAGTCTGTGAATGTGCACACCAGCTCCTGGATAATGAAAAAGAAATGGATCTTGTGTTCACAGCCAGTTGCTTGGGTTGGTCGATGGGTCAGTCAGTTTATTTGGCTTGATAACAAGGGTAGATCTTGCCACGTTGTTCTGAGAGGAAGTTTTACCACTCCCATTGCTTTATCTCCCAGGAATGCAGTTTGAGTTGTGTCTCCTCCTTGACAGCTTGGACCTCAGTAAATTAGCAGGGTCTTGACCCAAGAGATGGAGAAGTCCTAAGCGATTTTTCAGTCTCCTATCTAAAAATGTGTTTACATTTCTTGAACTCTGGCTGACTGATTCATTCTTCTGGTGTTACAAGAACTTTCCTTATGCATTAGAATTTATAAGTTTCATTTCTAAGAGACCCATAGTTCCTTCCAAGCCACAGTGAAGTGAACTTCATCACCACACACTTCTGCTGGGCCGGATTTGTCCAGAGGATGGATCATGGCCAAGCAGCTGTGATGTGGCAAGCTCAAGTGAGGCTAACAGAAGGCAGTGTGATACGCAGGGAAAAGTATAAGACGCTAAGTCATATCTGGGTTCTGGTCCTGCTCTTGGACTATTTCAAGGGGCAGCACTGAGCCCATCACAGGAAACCACACTCTGGGCCCCAGTTTCCCCAGCTGTCTTAAATAAGACATGCTTCCAATCTGTGCAGAAGCCATTTTCAAACAAGGCAGAAGAGGGTAGCTGAAAAACAACAGGAAACGGAAGGCAATGCTGTTGGGGTGCTGGCAGGACCAAATCCTGACTCAAAACCTCACTAGTTATCCAACCTTGGGTAAGTTGCTTCAGATTTCAAGCCTCAGCTTCCAAGCCTGCAGAATGCAGTGATAATACCAACCAGAGAGGAGAGTCATGCAAATGACACACCAACCCCACGTCGGTGTCGCTTCATGATGAGGCACCATGATTTCTGTTGGTCCCACCCCTCCCCCATCCCCTCCTCTCTCCCTACTCCAACCCCCTGCCCCACTTAGGCCTCAGCATTTGTTTGCTTTATGTTTCCAGCTTTGCTGATGCCCTTCCACATTACAAGAGAAAAGGGAAGCCTCTGATCTCTACATCTGGAAGGTCACAGAGGCATTTTCCTACTTCAGTAAAGTGCAATCATACAAAATTTATATTTAACAGCATCAGCAGATTTTTTTTTCCCATCAATATTCCCTTTTTAATTTCAGCTTTATCTGAATTTTAGCAGGACAAAGAATTGCTTTTGTTCTTTTAAAGAGCTACCAAACCAAAAATATATAAATTTGAATACAAGGTCTTAACATAGGGAGTTTGTGGGTGCTATTTGGTGAGTAAATATGAATCCCATCGGTGTGTGTTTACAACCTCACACACATATGAACTAGGTGTGTATGTGCATGGTATATTTACAAAAATTCCTGAGATCTGGATCTAACAACCCTTATCTTTTTTCTCTCTGATTTTCACCACAGGAAACACTGAATCTAGGACCAATCTTCACATGAATCTTTATGAAACCTCATCTTTAACCCCAAAGCCAGATAAGCAGGTACAGTATTGACTCTGAGGGAGCATGAGACTGGGAGTCTGGATTCTTGGGGTTTTGTCCCAGCTTGCTGTGTGACCCTGGGTGAGACTCTTCACCTCTCTGGGCCTCATTTGCCTAATCTGTAAGATGAGGCATGCAGACTTTACAATCATTTAGAAAAAAAAAACAAAACTTGCCTTCCAGTTGATTCCAGCTCATGACAACCCCATGTGTTATAAGGTAGAACTTCTCCATATGGTTTTCTTGGCTGTAATCATTTTGGAAGCAGATCTCCAGGCTTCTCTTCCACAGCTCTGCTGGGTGGGTTCAAATCACCAACATTTAGGTTAGAAGTCGAGTGCAAACTGTCTGCACCACCCAGGGACCTATACAATCACAGAGGTTCCTTAACTCTTGGACTTGGACTGTTTTGTCTGGCTCTTTATGTGCATGAATAAACTGGATAGGCCTTTCTCTGACTTCCGCCAAGTCAAAAAGTGAACAAGGAAATAAAGAAAGGCATCATTCTTCAAGGCAGGAGGCACTAAGACTTTGGGCCACTGGGCCCACTTGCCCACTCCAATTTTCATTTCTAACAGGGGGATGCAAAATTAGCAACCAAGAAAAAAATGCAAAGAAACCATGAAGAAAGGAGAAAAATGCTTCAGCTGAATGGGTTAGGAATATCTATCAGTGGTTCGAGGACATGTGTGCACAAATATTTATAAGTTTTTTCCTTCATTGGAAGCTTTGAGGCTGGAACTGTCTTCAAACTCTCCCTGGAGAGGAAACCCAGGGGAATTCCCAGAGCTGAGAAACCCAGGGTCTCAGAGAATGTGAGACAGAAGCAGCACACACAGCTCCAGGGGACTCTCCCTGCTGTGTGACAGCCTCCCAGGCCACTGATCTCTATTTCTCCCTTATCTCCAACTTCCTGCCCAGCCTGGCTGTCTCCTCGTGCTTCACACTCATTAAAAAATAAAAATGGTTTTGTTTTCATCTATGTGCCTGAGCTGGGTTCTGAGGAAGGGCCTGAAGTCTCCCTGTTAGGACCACAGGCCTGGGTCCCACTACTGCTGAGGTAAAACACAGCCAAGCAGCTCCTCCCTGCTACTGAGGAATCACAGAACTAACGTTTGCATTTTTTTTTTTTTTTTAATGCCTACTTTGACCCATTGGTGTCAAGTCAATTCCAACGCACAGTGACCCTATAGTTCAAAGTAGAACTCCCCCATTGGGTTTCCAAGGCTGTAAATCTTTACAAAGCAGACTGCCACATCTTTCTCCTGTGGAGCGGCTAGTGGGTTCGAACCACTGACCTTTTGGTTAGCAGCCAAGTGTTTAACCATTGCGCCACCAGAGCTTCTTGCCTACTTTGAAGACACCCTTTATAAGGGATCTAGAAGCTTTCCTTTTTTAAGAGAGCCTGTGACTAACAAAAATATATGCTATATTTTCATAGTTCTAAAACTTCAAAGTCCTTGGGTGGTGCAAATGGTTAAGTGTTTGGCTACTAACTGAAAGTGTTGTGGTTCAAATTCACCCAAAGCTGCCTCGGAAAAGGCCTGGTGAGCTACTTCCAAAAGATCATAGCCATTGAAGTCCCCATAGAACACAGTTCTACTCTGACGCATATGGGGTCACCATGAGTCAGAATCAACTCAACAACTGGAAAAATAACTCCAAAGGCCTTGCAAATGGCTCACAGACCCTAAACACATTCCAAATTCACACAGCCTGTGAATTTGTACTTCAATACACCTAATATCAACCTGCAATAAAAAAGTAGCTCAGACATGTCAAATTAAGTCCCAGACTGAATTAGGAACTTTGCAGTCAGCGAGAGGAGCATGGGACTGAGGGTCTTAAACAGCAACCCTGGGTTTCCTCCATGAGGCTATAGCAGTTGGCTTACTCTGAGGACTTCAGCTTACTCTGTGTCTCCTTTGAGAAATGAAGGAAGTTTTTCTCTCCAGAGCCAGCTGATTTTTTTAAGTCACAGTAGACTTATTTTCTTTAGAAGTATGTCTAAAAAGGAAAGCCATTTGACAAAAAGTCTAGGGAGCTCTGCCAGCCCCCAAACAAGGAGAAAATTGTGGAAGAGTTGTCTTCCTTCGCTTCCTCTCCCCCGCCTTAGTTATCTAGTGCTGCTATAACAGAAATACCACAGATGGGCGGCTTTAACAAACCGAAATTTATTTTCCTACAGTTTAGGAGGCTAGAAGTCCAAATTCAGGGTGCCAGCTCTAGGAGAAAGTTTTCTTCCTCCAGCTCTGGAGGAAGGTCCTTGTCTCTTTTAGCTTCTGCTCCTGGGAGATCTTCACGTGGCTTGGCATCTCTCTTCTCCCATCTCTGCTCTGCACCCTTGTTTAATCTCTTTTATATCCCAAAATTGACTCAAGATATACCCTACACTAATCCTGCCTCATTAACATAACAAAGACAGCCCATTCCCAATGGGATTAGAACCACAGGCATAGAGGTTAGGATTTACAACACATATTTTGAGGGGACATAATTCAATCCATAACATTCCACCCTTTGGCCCCCCAAAATTCCTGCCCTTGCCACATGCAAAACACATTCACCCCATCACGTCATCCCAAAAGTCTTCAATCCACTCCAAGCCCGAAATCTCATCTTCTGAATCCTCTAAATCAAATATGGGTGAGACTTTAGGTGTATTCCATCCTGGAGCAAAATTCCTCTTCATCTGTGAACCTGTGAAATCTAGAATCTGTTTCCACAGTACAGTGGTGGAACAGGCACAAGGTAGCCATTTCCATTACAAATGGGAGAAACCGGAGGGAAAGAAAGGATAACAGCTACCAAGCAAGTCCAAAACCCAGCAGAACAAATTACATTAGCTCTCAAGGCTTGAAGATAATCCTCTGTTTTTTGGGACCCTCTAGACTCTGAGTGTTGGCCATGCTTTCTGGATTCTGGGTGGAGGTTCCTCAGCCCTGGGCTTCAGCTCTGCCTTCCAGGCCCACTGGGATGGTAATTCTGCTCCCAGAGCCTTGGGCAGCCCCATTCTCCTGGTCCATCTAAGTGGCAGCCCCACCCCCTCAGCCCTGGTAGGCCCTGTTCTTCTGCCCCTGGGCATGACAGCCCCACCCCCTCACTTTGGACAGCAGGCTGTTGGGGTGCTGGCAGCACATCGTAATGGCAGCACCACACTCTGGAACCAAGTTGGTGAAGATCTGACTCTTTTAAACCTAGGAGGCTGTGAAGGCACCCTCTGAAACCAATGCAGCCCTGCTTCCCGTGGCCCCACCCTTTGACATCCAGGAGACTGTGGCCCTACCCTTTGAAACTAAGAAGGGCCTGCTTCCCGTGCTCCTTCCAACAGTTCTGCTGATCTCCTAGCTACTCCAGGGGTGGTCCTTTTCTTTTCTCGGAGGACAACAGATGTAGTTCCTTTGGCCTGTTTCTTGCCTGTAGAATTCAAAGAAGCAGGCAGCCTCCTTTTCTTTCATTCTTTCTCTGTCTCCTTCCGTCTATGCTGATGGGTTTTCTGTAGTGGTAGTTGGTTAGATCCATCAGTCACAGGATTAATCTCTTTAACAAAAGATTGTTTAGCCACATCCTTGGTAAACTTTCTAAGACATATGTCCTTAGTTTGTACAACAGAATTTTTCACATCTTTAAGTTTTAGTTTCATTTTGCACAGTTCGTTTTTAAGTCCATCTCTTTCCTCTCGCATTTTACTATAAGTGGCAAGGACATACCACGTGGCCTCTGTAAGATCTTGCTTAGAAATCTCATCAGCTAAATATCCAAGTTCATCGCTTACAAGTTCCACCTTCCACCAAACATTTGAACATAATTCAGACAGTTATTTGCCACTACATAAAAAGCATCACCCTTTCTCCATTGTCCAATTACATGTTCATCATTTATTTCCTTTTAAAGCCTCACCAGAAGCACATTTAATGTCCACATTTCTAACAACATTCTGTTGCTGGTGCCATATATATTCTCTAAGACAACAGAGACTTTCTCTATAGCTCTCCTCACTTCTTTCTGAGCCCTCATCAGATTCACCTTTGACATCCATAATTCTACCAACAGTCTCTTCAAGGCAATATAGGCTTTTACTATTAACCAAAAAACCAAACCCACTGCTACTGAGTGGATTCTGACTCATAGTGACCCTACAGGACAGAGTAGAACTGTCCCATGGCGGTCTCCAAGGCTGTAAATCTTTATGAAAGCAGACTGCCACATCTTTCTCCCACAGAGCAGCTGGTGAGTTCAAACCGCCAAACTGTTGGTTAGCATCAAGCACTTTAACCACTGTACCACCATGGCTCCAGCTTTTACCATTAGGCACGTTTAAATCTTTCCAGCCTCTACTCATTACCCAATTATAAAACTGTGTCCACATTTTAGGTATCTGTTAGAGTAGCACCCTATTCCGCCAGGATCAAATTCTGTCTTAATTATCTAGTGCTGCTATAACAGAAATACCACAGATGGGTGGCTTTAACAAACAGAAATTTATTTTCTTACAGTTTAGGGAGCTAGAAGTCCGAATTCAGGGTACCGGCTCTGGAGGAAGGCTTTCTTTCTCTGAGGAAAGTCCTTGTCTCTTCTGAGCTTCTGCTCCTGGGTGATCTTCATGTGGCTTGACACCTCTCTTCCCTCACCTCTGCTTCTTTCACTTGCTTGTTTAATCTCTTTTATATCTCAAATGAGATTGACTCAAGATACACCCTACACTAATTCTGCCTCATTTACATAACAAAGACAGCCCATTCCCAAATGGGATTATAACCACAGGCATAGAGGTTAGGATTTACAACACATATTTTGGGGGGGCATAATTCATTCCATAACACCTCCCCTTACTTCTTGAAGCTATATGGCCGTTTATCAGATTAACCACTGACTTCGATTTTAACTACTTCCTCAACCTCCTCCACGTAAATGACTAATTTCGTGTTTACTATAAATCATCTGGAAAGGATTTAGAAACAAATTTCTTCCCAGCACATTTCAGTTACGTACCTTGATAG